GGCGGCGGCGGCCATCTCCGCCGTGGTATAGGTCCCGAGCCAGATTCTTGTCGTCTTCCTGGGTTCGCGGATCTCAGAGACCCACTTGCCGCTCCGGCATCGAATTCCCCGGTAAACCGGGTGCCTTTTCCGGCCACCGGAGACGGAGGAAGCAGCGGTGGCCATAGCCGGAGAAGCCGCAGAAGGAACAGCAGCTTGAAGTGTTGGAGGGTTTTCACACGTGCGAGAGAGAGTGTCACACGTGTGAGTTGGAACATTTGATGGAGAGGAAGCTTTGGTTATAATGTGTTTGGTAGGATTTTTAGGGTCATCCATTATATACACACACACACACACAACAATGAGGGAAACAGAGTGTAAGTATAGATGTGTAGTTACGAAAAATAGCAAATAAGTATGTTGGTGTGTTGTTTTAGGGTTTAGGACGAGATTAATATAATTGGTTTAAATATGGGATTGGGAACATAGTGAATTGCGTGGGCATTGCGTGTCAAATCCAGTTGTTCTTTACTCACTTCTACTTGGTTCTGATTTTTTGGTTTGCCCTAATGGCTAATGCTGTGGTCGTGGGATTCGGTGGGGTTATTCCTGTAATTGTGTTATTATTAATTGTTCGAGATTTTTGCGAAATATTCCAATGATTTGGATGTTAATAATAACGATAATAGGCTGTACTTAATTAATTATGTATCCCTTGATTTATTTTTGTTCGTCTTTTGTCACATTTCTAAAGTCGACGCTCTATATAGTAAATGTGTAAAATGTTTGAAAATCCTCGTTATATTCCTAATTAAAGAAGTTCAATGAAACAATAAGTTTATTCCCTCTGTTTTAAAATAACAGCAGTTCTAAAGCCTTTTTTACATTTGGAAAAATATATATAAATATATAGTGTATATTTTATCATTTTTTATAATTGAAATTACGCCCATAGAGGCAAAATTTAGAACGTCATCTAAAAATATTTCGAGATTCAAAAACTGCGTTTTGTAAACAATTACAATCAAACTCTATAAGTATTTTCATTGGATATTAAGATATTTTGTACTTAAATGCTTTGAACTAGTAGGAACAAAAAAAAAATCCTTTCGGATGACAAAAAAAAAAAACTTTAGATACGAAAGTACAAAAAAAAAATCTTCAAATATACAAAGGTATTAAGTAATTTAATTCATACGCACACAATCTCAACAAAGTTGGTCGATCAAAAGTCATATATAGCACATATATGCTTGTGTGTAATCAACACATGTTTACATATCCACTTATATATATATATATATATATATTGGTGAACATCTAATACTTAGCTGTGTAATTCCACTTTGACTGCTCGCTCACTTCCTCGACGGCGACTCCCATCCACGGAACGGAAGGGAGTTCGTACGGTTCTTTTTCTGTCACGCGTTAATTTTGTAACGACAAGAAAAAAAGAAACCAAATTTAATAATTATAATTTAAATACACCGCACGCGATACGAAACAAAAATATTGATTAAGCGCCCATGCACACACAAACTATACGGAATAAAAATATTGATTTGAGAATAAGCCATGTATTATTCTTATTGTAATTATAAGTAGGTTGCGACCAAATAATACATTAGGTTATACATTATAGTGGTCCACCTCGGATCTGTCTGCCTAATGCTTCCTAATCAGACCGTTTCTCTTTTTGGTAAATGTTTTACTTTAACGTTAATTATGATTAACCTCTCTTTCCATCTTAATTAGGCGTTAACTATCGGATAATCAACCACTCTCTTTCATTCTTGGGGTTTTTATACTCTTTTTTTTTTAATTTTTAAATAAAGGTTCCAATATTTTAATTTACAACTCGTACCACAGCTCCATAGCATTCATTATATTCCTTCTTTTGGCTAAAACGTTTTTACGCTAAACAAATAATTAAAACCCACTCATATTTTATCAAGGGGATCGGATAATTAAATTCAGATTCATCTAGTATTTTAATAAATTGATGTGACATAATTCCTTGTTTACTTTTATAAAAATTAAAGTTAACGATTTTTGCCCCCCACCCCCATAACTTTCTAGGTTAAAACTTAAAATATAAAACAGTTCGAAAAATAAAATAATACGATAGCCAAATATTTTACATGAGCATATGGGCATGGCTGATATTTAACTATTTTTTTCCTAGAGTTGATTATTATTTCTCTAATTAAAGAACCCAAAATTATAAACTTAATTACCAAATCAAGCACAATGGGCAGCCTGTACAAAAATATAAGCAGATAAAACAGATTGGATAAGTCACACAAGAAACAATCAAGAAATTCAAAATTTAATATTTATTTCTCAGCCCATTCAACAAAAAAACATACCCACTTTATATATAGATGAATATCACAAAAGAAGCTTACCCGGTTCTATTTGGTCCATTCGAGATCATTTTTCATTTGGTAAACCAAGAATCTAACCGAACCGAACCAAATTCAATACGAAAACCAAATGACAAGTACACTATTGGTCACAAGGACTAGGCAACAAATACAATTACAGGAACATGGAATTCCACTGATTATGAAGGAAAAGACAGAGCATGCAGTACACATATATAACATCACATCCACATTGTATTTGTAGCCAACCATAATCATTCGTGACCTCCAAGAACAAGAGGGGCATCTTTAGAACTTTGCCCATACAAACTTTGAAGCTGAAACTCATAATGCAACATGCTCTTAATATGTAAGAATTAGACAGAAGTTGGTAGAACAATAACATCTAAAAATATGAAATCACAGCACTGGATAATTCGAAATCCATTACTGACCTCATCTCATCCAAGACCGCAGACCCAAAATCACCACATCAGAGCATTAGCGCCCAAAACCTTGTTCAAGGTCCGAGGAAGGCAAGTCTTTGTGTTGGACACACCGTTATAATCAAAACCTTGACTTCTTTCTTTCGACGTGTTGGTAACAGGAACACATCTGTAAAAAGAAAAATGCCACTTTTGATCTCAGAAATCTCCAGAACAAGGGAAATACAAAATAACGTTGAGAGGAACACCACTCTCTGACACATACCCAAATCCAACCTTGGGCATGTTTCCTTGTCGACCCATAACCGAATTATTCCTGCAGCCTCCACGTGTCGGGGGAATTGCAAAAATGACTTTAAATGTCATTTTTAATTCACGGTATGACCTTGACTTTTTTTTTTTAAAAAACATCATCATCTACTAACCTTATAATTGTATCTTTCCAAAAATACCCTTACTTTTTTAATTATTATTAAATTTAAAATAAAAATATTTCGGTTCTCTCTCTCCTCTCCCACCTCTCTCTCTCTTCGTTCGCATATGTCGAACCTGCAAAATCTCTTTCTCCTCTCAAACGTTCTCTGTCTCCGAGCTCTCTTCATCTACAGCCTTTTTTTCAGCTAATTTGTTATGAAAAACAAGTAAAAGCTTGAGACAATTCATCGATTAAACACATATGTGAATAATCCATAAGTATTTTTCTAAAATTCATTATTAAGTGTGGGCATTTGTGATTTGTTGTTTTGTCATCTTTATATTTAATTCAGATGATACAGATGAAACAAATATGACATATATATCAGTAATACCATGATTCACGTGACTCAAACCGGTCAAAATCATTAAATTTGTGAAATTCGTCAAAATGGAAAAATTCGGAAAACTGGTCATACATACATGTCGAAAAGGTCACACACTGGTCATACTCCTAAACTGGTTATACTTGTCAAATTGGTCAAACTGGTCATACTCGCAAAATTGGTAATACTGATCATAATCATCAAATTGGTAAACTGGTCATACTCGTAAAATTTGTGATATGATATGATTATTACTATGTTAACACTTTTAAAACGATGGATCGTGCGATTTCGAACAAGTATGACCGTCTGACCAAGGTATGACCGTCTGATCGTATGACCGTATGACCATTTGGGTACGAAAAAGAAAGGCCTAAATTAAATTTAAACCATTTTAAAAGTTGTATAGGGATTATAAAAATACTACTGCTTCATTTTGGAGTTCTAATTTCACATGAAAAAACAAATCTCCCAACATAAGTCAATTGTATCCAATGTGTTACAAAAACACCAGTAGTACTTTAGGTCTTCTTTGAAAAGAGTTACATTGACATCCAAAAAAGGTGCTCAATCCGTATTGCTACGACTAATTTCAACTTGAGAAATCTGTCATATGATATGATTATTATGATGTTAACACTTTTAAAACGATGAATAGTGCGATTTCGAACAAGTATGACCGTCTTGTTGGGGTTCCCTTCGGGTTCCTAGCATGCGATCTCATCGATCTAGGGTTTGGTTTCTAGGTTTCATGCAGCGGAAGGAAAGATCTAAACCTAGCCAAACGTCACACAAAAACCAATTGTGCAATAACCCGAACAATCGTGTATATCGTCGTGGGATTCGAATACTTACCTCGTTCTTTCAAGATCTGGAAGTATCAATCGATCCAGGGCCTGTTTTAATCACCGAGAGTTGAAAGCACAACTCCTCTACACGTATCCACACCGCGGGATGAATTCCAACGCTTTGGAACGTATCTGCTAGGATTCGTGAAGAGAAAAACCGATGTCCTTGACTTGGAATCGATATTCCAATCTCTATAACTCAAAATCAAGCTTCTCTAAGCTCT